CCTCCGCTTGGCATTTCCAGAACATGCTTGATTATGGCCCTCTATTATGTTGAATCCATTCCACAGTTTTCATTGGTACTCTCAATCCATCCACTCAATCCAATTGTGTTTCACACATTTGTATTTTACCGGAATGTTTCATCTATCTTGTAATTTCCATTTTGTATTTTGTAATTTGTATTTTGTAATTTGAATTTCTTTTATTGTTGATTTATTCAGTATAATTACTTACAACTGTACCATGTTCAGCGCTTTGGGCTTCCTGACAGGGTTGCAGAAGGCGCTTTATAAATAAAGCTTTGATTGATTGATTGATTGATTGATGCATTGCCATGGGGATGAGTGTCAGTCTGTCTGTGCATGTCGTCCTGTTTACTCATTAAACACATAAATCATGACATCTTTATTTCACAGATCATTCACTTGATTATTATTGATCAACATATGTTTTGCTTAATTTTTAATCACAAATAAAGTACTTTGATTAAGTAAAAGCATTGTTCTCCCTTCTTCTGGAATGTAAACAGTCTGAGGATCAGACGACCTTGGCGTTTCCTACACGGGCGTTACTGTGTACAGGGGCAGCTGTGTGGAGCTGAAAATAATGAACTTCATAACGTTACAGTATCTAACTAGCACCTTGCCTGCACCCGTCCCCCCTCTCTACCATCCACTCCTTAGTTCCCTCCTCTCCATGACTGATGTCAATGTTGTTGTTGTTATTGTTGTTGTTAGCCTCAAGGGCAATATGTCAGTTATCACTTGTAAGTCGCTTTGGACCAAAGCGTCTGCTTAATACATAAACATAAACAAACATAAACATCAACAGGTGGTCATATAATAATCAGACTGTTACCAGTCAGTCATTTTTACCTAAAGCTTTTCTGTTTTATTTATAAACAAATCCCAATTCTTCTGTTTAAATGAGTATTTTCTTTATTTTTGGAGTAAAAAATTCATTTCATTTCTCAAAAATTAACATTTAGAGGTAAAAACTGTTCTTATGGTTTAAGATTACCCCACATGGCTTCCAGTATCAAATTTAATGCAATGGGGTTTACGGTCCACAGGATGGTGTTAAATCACTTTCAACTGAACCATGATCAAATCCTAAATAATCTTTTTTACCTGGCCTTCATAAATAACATTTGCAGATCTTCTGACTGAACACATTTGTTCTAATGCCATTTGAAATAACTTACTGGCTAACAGATTAAGCTAAATTTGCAATTTGTGACATTTGCAAACAATGAAAAAGAGAAGATCTGAACAGGCTTGAGTTTCAGGTGAGTTCCCCCTGGCAGCCATAGCTAAGAGACGATTCAGATCATCTTAAAGCTGAGTCTTACTGCTGAAAATGACGTGTCAGCTCGAGTCCACATGTTGGATTTAGTTCAGGGTTAATGTTTTAAAATGATATTACCTGCAAACATGATGCCTCAACTTCAGTTTTAATCCACAGAGTTTCAGCCTTGCAAACACAAAATTAGTGAATCGTGTGTTTTATAATAGATTATATTCATGGGACGTCTTTGAGAACCAGAGAAGTCCTTGAAAGGCCTCTGACATTTTTGAAAAGACTCTGATTCAAGGCCACAGTTTCACTCAGCCTCCAGCTGGGTATTGTGTGGCTTTTAGGCATAATTGCTCCACAATTTGAGCTCGTTTTTGGTCCTTTAACGATTGTTTCTGTGTGATTTTGATAATTTTTCAGCTTCTTTTGAACTAAGTTGGGTTCATTTAGTGACAACTTTTTTGATTTATGCATGTCTGCGTGCATCTGTGTCCCATATTTAGTCTGTTTAGTCATTTTTCATCTGTTTTAAAAAAGATAATCACAATTTATTGTTTCCCTACGATTCTGCATGCAGCATTTGCTAATTTAGGCTATGCATCATAATTGTCTTATATTTTCAGACATTTTAATTTATTTTATGTCTCATCATGAATAATTGTTGTACCTCTTTGGATGCAGACTTCTTTTTTTGTTGAGGCCTTTGTCTCACATTTATGGTTTGTATTTCTTCAGAATTGTCTCATTTTGGTCGTCTACACTCTCCAGATAAATCACACTGGGTTGTTTTATTACTGTTGATGATTTCTGGAATTGTGGTTTTTTTGCAAGGATAAATTTGTTTTAGGAGTCAAATATAAGGTTAGTTTCTAAACAAAAAACACAAAAAAAACATGCATTAAGACTTATAAAGTAGGTAAACAGTCAATAAAAAATTTCTTACATCTTAATTGTTTAGATTTTGCAAGTAAACTGCAAAATAAAGCAACAAATAATTATAAAATAACCGCAATGTCATTAAGTGTCCACATGATGGCGCCAAACCACCATAAACTGAACCACGACCTTGACTAGAGTGTATTTCAAAACAAATCTTTATCTATCTAACAATAAACATTTAGTTAACAACAGAGATAAATTTGTGAAGCTAGCAGTAATGTGTATCAGAAAACAACAATAATGAACCTTTAGCTATCTTTCTGTTTTTTCTTCCTTTCTTTACTACCCTTCATCCTTTCTTCCCCTTCTCCATTCCCTCTTTTTTTGCATACGTATATTTTACTTCTTTATTTTTTGTCTGTAAATCTTGTAGGAAAACAAAGAATACCATCTGGGGTTTGAGAAGACTTGAGATTCTTGGTGTGATTTAAAGTTTATATGTGAATTTCGGCTCCGTTCACGAAATCTCGACTGTCAACAAAGTAGGCAGACTTTCCTTCTTCACGTCAGGGGTGGAGCTTCAGGGCAGTGAGCCCCCGGCCAGGGCTTGGGAGGGGCCCGCCCCTGCAATCAGGCAGCCGAGAGGGAACGGCGCCTCTAACACAAACGATGGACAAGCACTTCCATAACTTGTGTTCAGAGGAAAATGAGCTTCGTTCTTCAGAAATCCTCTCATGTATTTATTTAGGGTTTATGTAGGTTGCCCCAGTCCAGATCAAGTCATGGTTCCTAAAAACTTGCAATCGACTGACTTTAGTGATGTAGTAGGTAGGGTTAGGGTAGGCTAGGTTTGGATGGTGTTATTGGTAGTGGAAGAAAGTCCTCTGCCATCTGCTGTTTGTCCGTTTTTGTTTTCAGATAGTTTGGTTGCTAGCTAGCACGCTAGCCACTAGTTGTTAGCTCGAGGTGCGTAACCTCTCCTGAACAGATTTTGACATGTTCTTGTTCCTTATAGTGCCTTGAACACAAACCACACTAATCTTCAAAGAAGCTTGGAAGCAGGATAAACGTCAAAAAGGCACTGAAGATATGACTTATTATCATCTAGTGTTGAGAGCTCGTAAGAATCCGCCTCGTCACGCTGCCATCTTGGCCCTCCTCTCAGACGGAGAACACCGGTCTGAACCCTGAAACTCCAGAGCTGAAAATAAGTCCCACTCCAGCCCTGACCTCAAACACGACTCCAGCATGACTCCAGTAGCCGAACAGGTTTCTAAGAACGGAACACTGAATGTCTCCACGGTGCCGGAGGGCGTTTTGCTCTGAATCTGGGTCGTGGTCGCTGTGACTTTGGTGGTTTCTGTGGTTCTGATTGGGTTCTACGTAGTTAAACGTCAGAAATGGACACAGCCCCCTGCTGCTCCTGCAGAGGACACGACCTGATGTTAAAACAGGACCAGAAACACAGAGGAACCGGTGATCAGGAAGTCAACTGGATCAAAGATTCCGATCAGAACCTCAGAACCCAAGATGAGAAACCCAGTTTTACACGAGGAAACGGTACCATACTGGTGGCTGGTTTATGTTCAGAGCAGCTCGATGCCAACAAAAACAAGTCGAACTGTCTCTCAAAACATCTGTTACTGTCATTATTATACTGACAGAATAAGAAAAAATTATATGTTATTGCTGCTTATTTAACAAATACATCTGATTAATGTCAGATTGGCTGGAATTGCTGCTTCTCTTTTATCTGTTAAATGAAAAATACAAATATTTATTTTGTAAACTTTGTTTTATTCAGTACAAGCCAAAGGTTTGGACATGCCTTCTTATTCAATGTGCTGTCTTTATTATCTTGACCGTTTACATTGGGAGATTCTCACTGAAGGCATCAAACCTATGATGTGGAGTTTAAAGGTGAAATAACTGAAAATGTGTTTTATTTTCCATTTTCTTCAGAAAAGTCACCCTTTGCTCTGATTACTGCTTTGCACGCTCTTGGCATTCTCTTGATGAGTTTCTAGAGGCAGTCACCTGAAATGGGTTTCCAACAGTCTTGAAGGACCCTCCTCCCAACCCCAGAGATGCAGGTGTCTGGTTTGAACAGGTGAGCATCACAGTAAATCAGAGTGGAGCAAACTGAACTTGAAATATTGTGGGTTTTATGCACTTTTTCTGCTCCAAAGCATGAAAGTTAATAGGTGAGATTTTATATTTTCATTTAAGAGAATTACTGTTTTTTATTTTTGTTGTTGGCCTCTGAAGAAAGATTTAACCCGCTTTAAAATAGGAACTGGAAAGATTACAGTGTGTGTGTGTGTGTGTGTGTGTGTGTGTGTGTGTTCTGACCATACGTGTGTGTGTGTGTGTGTGTGTGTGTGTGTGTGTGTGTGTGTGTGTGTGTGTGTGTGTGTGTGTGTGTGTGTGTGTGTCTGACCATGTGTGTGTGTTCTGACCGTTTGTGTTCACTAAGTCTGGAGACTGAACAGTGATGCAAAGGGGCTAGTCTCTCTAGAGAAGACCACAGCCACCTCCCTGAGCAGAACCCAGTATCCATCACTGTGGCAGACATCCAACAAAGAGCCTCAGGTCTGAAGAACTGGACAGCTCCAGGACCTAACATGATCCACGCCTACTGGCTTAAGAAGCTCACTGCACTCCATGAGTGCCTGGCAGCACAAATGAAGCAGCTGCTAAAGGATGGGACTCACTCTGAATGGCTAACTGACTTGGCTAATACCAAGGAGACGCCCTGTCCCCACTGCTGTTCTGCAGAGGTCAGATCCCCGTCCACCAGATAATCAACAAGACTGGCCATGGATAGCACCTCCTCTACATGGAAGACCTCGATCTCACCATCCACATAGAGGAGGTCTAATCTTCAGGTGTTTGAATCGTGCTTATTCCGACCGCCTACCCGAGACCATGTTGCCATGGAGACCCTAACAGGGGCTAATGAACCAGACTACACAGCTTCCAGGACGATGGAGGTCCTCAAACCCTCCCACCACGATAAGGTGGCGATTCTGCGGGAGGGATGGGTTTTTGTTTGTTTTTTTGGCTTTTTTGTGTCATTTTATTTATTTATTTTATTTTATTTTTTGTGTGTATATTTTATATGTTAATATTTGTATTCTATTTCATTTTATTTGATAGAAAAACATAAACTTTACAAAAATATTTTGTTGTTGTTGTTCTTGCTTCTATTTTTTCTACTTGCTTGTGAAATCTAAGCAGCTTCTCGATTCTAAGTCACCAAGTAGGCCTAAACTTATAGACATATAGAGTATGTGTACATCTACTTTCTACTAGAGATTTTATTGTTTTTACTTCCTAAGTGAAAAAAAAGTTCATTTTCTTCTAAAACACCCCCCCCCCCCCCCCTCTTGTTCATTCCCTTCAGGTATTTTCCAGATGTGACTGACGACGCTTCAGAGTTAGTTGCTTGTGAGGATTCTGTATCTCTGCCAGAAACCAGAGAACTCCGAGTTTTGGCTCCTGTGACCGAGCTTCCACTTTTATTTACTCCTGAATTATTTTCTGCAGTCACTGATAATTTATCTTTAATCCCTTATTTTTCCACTGATGATGCAAGGGTGGGTCGTACGAGACCCTAGAGGGCGTGCTTGGATGAGCTTCATCCACACTTGACTTCTCATATGAAGATTTTCCATCTTCGTACTCACCTGAACTTACCTTTGAAACCAGAGATGATTCAATGTTACTGTAGGGTTACTGACCTAAACATAGGAATTAAAGGCTGTTGCTATCAGCTTATATTTTAATTCCTAAGAAGATCAAACGAATTGACGAATGAGATTATATATGGATATATAAATATAATAGATATAAATTCATACACCCACTTGCTTGGTCTATGTTTAATCAAAAGATTATGTAGCATTCAGTCAATATTGAGAAGGCCGGATCTGATCGTGAATGATGATTTATTGAGCCGTCCGTATCATCAACCAACCAACGTAAGAGCTAGGCATAAACAAAAAATAAATAAATCATAAAATAAACCATAATGCATAACTGATTACATTGGTAGCCTTTTTCACAACTAATACAATCATATAGGTACCCATACACGTTCCTTTTTCATAACAACATCATGAATTATAGTTACAAACCTTGTTCCCCTTATCAACTGAAGCTAGACAGAAGTATTCTTCAAACTTTCTTTGTCTTCTTCTCCGTGAACCGTTAATAGCCTATCCTTTGCTCCGTCTTTACTTCTAATAGATTTACGTTTGCTTCTTCTGTGTTGCGCCCGTTGCGCCTCCCTACTTGGCTACGGTTGCCATGATGCTGTCAAAATAAAAGCCTGTATACCTTTGCCGTTGTTAAACATAAAGAAATAGTTCACCTTTACATTCACCTTTACAGATTATAATATTTATTTTTAAAGATTTAATTTAATAGCAAAGATTATTTGTTAATTCAGAAGATCTAAAGACCTTTGCCTCTTCAGTGATCAATGTACACCCACTCTGTGTTTATTTCAAGAAAGAGTCAAGTTTAAGAAGGTTAAGAAATTTATTACTAAACAATTATAAAACATCACAATTTATAAAAGACTTTGGTATTAAAAAAGCAACCCTGTGTTTGGATGAATCTAATATGAAGTGTTTGTTTGCGGGTGAATGCAATGTCTCAGAACGTGTCTGGTGCAGGTGTGCGCTCTGGAGGGCCCTCGGTCGACGCGCAGGTGCAGTCAGAGAGATCAGGGTCAGCCAGTAGTGGTACAGGGCGACATTCAACCTTCCCCCTGTGGTAGGCGAGTCACCAACCTCAGGTCTAGAGGTCACTAGCACCAGCTGTAGGAGTAGGGTCAGTGATGTTGTCAGCTCCCCCCTTCGGCAGGTGGCGTCCCCACCGCAAGGTAATGGGCTTCAGCTGGAGGCTCAGCGCCACCATCAACTCCCCCTTTGGCAGGTGGTGTTCCCACTCCAGGGTGCGGAGTCTCATGTGCAGTGCCACTGCAACCTCCCCTAGGTTAAGGTCGGTTTATGCTTGACGCGTCCGCGAGGTTGCGTCATTTTAACAACCACGCCCCTCCACCGCGCCTCTGCACGGCCCAAAATTTCCGCACCGCGCACCTAGGAAATTTTCTAACCACGCGGACGGTCGGACGCGGAAAAACATGGCAGACTGGCAAGAACTAGTATGGCAGAGGTTCGTAAATACAGACATTTGTATTATTCAGCTCTCAAAGATAACCGTGATCAACATGTTGTTAATAATTCTTGGAGAGAAATAGCTCGCACTGTCGGAAAAGATGAGGATGCTGTTAAAAAATGCTGGAATGCCATGTTGTAAACAACAGTAATTTTTACTTCTACTGTGGTGTAGTGTTGGATTCATGCCGTAGAGCTCCATGCTGCCCCCTACAGTTTGGGAGAATATTGGCTCACCGCAGAGACAAGCCGCATGAACCTATAAACGCTGCAAGTTTGAAGCGCGTTCCATCCGCGAGCCGCATCACCAAGCGGAAAGTGAATACGTCAAGCATAAACCAAGCTTTAGGTGGTTTTCCCACCCCCGAGTGAAGCAATCTTGCTGCAGAGACGACACAGATTCTGTGGGTGTCACTGACCTTGGAGGCAGTGGATCGACTGGTCACTCTGACAGCGCCGTTGTAGTTAACAACACCTAGAGAGGGAATGACACGAACACGAAAGAGAGCCCATAGCTCAGGTACGGAGTCAAGCTTGACAGGAAAAGGCAGATGAGCTGTCGGATCAGAAAGGTACAGGATCATCCTGCTGGTATCAGAGTCCTGGGACTGAAGACTGACAAGGTTGTTTTCAGAAAAGACAGGATGAACAGACTCAAAACCATCGGATGGTCGAGAGGTGGATGCGTTAGCGGCCTGAGCTCAAGTCACGACACACACACGGGGTGGGTTTGACCGAGAAGACACACTGTCAGGGAGCCACAAGGGGTTAAAGGACCAACAGCTGCACCTTGTTTGGCAAGAGAGTCTGCAATCAGATCCTTATCAGTTCCGGGTGCACGAGAAATACCTTTGACTTCACGCCAATAGATCTGCATGTCATGTGATGTCGCTAGGGTTATCACAAGCCATGAAGAGGTCTTGATGTTTAACGGGCTTCCGGTTAGATGTTAAGAACCCGTTAATTTTCCAAGAAGGTAAGAGAGGTGGTGGAGGACCTAAACTTGGAGACGGCCATAGAAAAGGAACACTCAGAAAGATAGGAGGAGAACCACTCCAGAGCAGTTCCTGATAGAACTGCCCAGTCTCTCAGCCTCTCCAGTAGCAGGTGATGGTCAACAGTGTCAAAAGCTGCAGTCAGGTCCAGCAGGACCAGAACAGAACAGTTCCCTGCATCACTGAGTCAGAAGGTCATTAGAGACCAGGGGCGGCGTTAGGCCCGGCTACTTGGGCTGAAGCCCCGGATCTTTCATGATAAGCCCCGGATCTAAATCGAGGAAGTAACATGCAGTACCAAAGTCACACAGAGAGGGCGCAGCTGGCAGTAGTTTGTAAAGTCCCATTTAGTCGTCACACACACAATTTATTCTCCGATTTTGACCCATCCCCTGAGTTGCAGACACGCCGCGCTCGGGAACTATTTGGTGGTTTAACCCCCCAATCCAACCCCAATCCAATGCTGAGTGTCAAGCAGGGAGGCATTGGGTCCCATTTTTCTCAAAATCTTTGGTATGACCCAACCAGGAGTCGAACCCCTGATCTCCCGATCTCAGGGCAGACACTCTACCACTAGGCTACTTAGTCAGTATACAGTTTACCTGAGACTGAAGAGAAGCCCTTCAGCAGCTGGCTTCTGCAGTCTGTCTGAAACGCATGAGTGAAGATGGATATAAGGACGTTTTTTTAGACCAAAAGTACAACGACAGAACCCCAGCTCTGATGAGACTGGTGTTGACTCAGGTTTGTGAGTCTTATTTGAAAATATTTGTTGTGCTGCTGGTTTGCCTAAAGTTAGCTTACTATCAGGTAAAGTTGTTGGAGAAAGAAAGGGAATATTCACTATCATCTCACACTAAACACTAACAGGAACAATACTCTGCCCTGAATATGCTGAATATGTAGCTTCAGATTAAACATTATGTGGTACAAGACAAATATATATGATGTTGACTAGTGCGTGTCACGTGTGTGCGCGCATGCGTGTGTGTGCGCGTGCGCGCGCGTGTGTGTGCGCGCGCGTGTGTGTTAAGCCCCGGATCTTCTTCAGTCCTAAATCCGCCCCTGTTAGAGACCCTAAGAAGAGCTGTTTCAGTAGAATGAGCTCTACGAAAACCTGACTGGAAGCTATCATAGATGTTGTGTGTTCATCAAGAGCAGCTGTGAGTTGTTTAGCCACAACCTTTTCCAAGATCTTGGAGATGAATGGAAGTTTAGAGATGGGTCTGAAGCTGCTATGGAGAGAGGGGTCAAGACTCGGTTTTTTAAGAAGCGGGTGGATTACAGCGTTCTTAAAGTAAGCAGGGACCTGACCAGAAACCAGAGAAGCATTAATAATGGAGAACACGCTGGGACCAATGGACTGAAAAGCATTTTTAAACAAAGATGAGGGTAAGATGTCGAGGGGGAATGCAGAGGTCTTCATAGAGTTAACTAGTTTGGTTAACTTGGTCAAAGAAACAGGAGCAAAGCTATCTAGGATGATGGGCCTGGTTGGAGTTGGGAGAGGCAGCGATAAGGCTGAAGGAGAGATGCTAGATCTAACCTTATTGACTTTGTCCACAAAGAAAGACAGAAAGTTCTCACAGTCTGTAACAGAGTGGATGGAGGCTGTAGGAGAGGCAGGAGAGACTATGCTGCTGATGGTGTTAAACAGCACCTTGGGGTTAGGGTTAGCACACCTGTGCTGAGGCTCAGCACACCTGTGCTGAGGCTCCCATTGATAATTTGACCAAGTGAAGGGTCAAGGCACGGAAAGGCAGCCTTC